TATATATATATATATATATATATATATATATATATATATATATATATATATATATATATATATATATATATATATATATATATATATATATATATGACGAAATGATAACATACCTAGTGGTTTATAATACTATGATGTTATGTGGTTGTATGCAAGTATGTTGTTACTATTTGCTATTACTGCATGTATGGTGAAGGCTTATACTCTGTTGTTGGTCTGTATTGACATAATGTTGAGGGCTTATACCCTGTAGTTGCATAACTATGTTGTTGCATGTTAGTGTTGTATGTATGCATTGGTGAGGGCTTATTCCATGTTGTTGTCTTGTAATGGAGTTATGTTGAGGGCTTATGTCTTGTTGCTGCCCTATCTGGCATTATGTTGGGGGCTTATGCCCTGTTGGTACCACATGCATTGAGTTGATATCGGTTGCATTGCATTACTATTGAACTGATGTTGTGTTATGTGGATGATGAATGTGTTGCAATGTATTGGATGAAATGTGAATAATGTGAATTAGATGAATTGTGTGAATTACTACTCCTTAGCATGTGATATTCACTGTATAATTCTCACCCCCTTTATATTGTTGTGTATGTGCTCCACCGGGAGTACATATAATCAGATACATAAGTAGTGCTTGGAGTATGAGTTGCTTAATCGAGTCTTAGGAGTCGTTCTGATATATAACATGGGATGTTATGAGGATTTATTATGTTTTGTATTTGTCTTGTCTATTACGTATCTTAATTTCAAAACTATGTTGAACCACGAGATTTATGGAGAATGTTGTTATTAAAGTCGTAGTGCTACGAAAATGAATAATTTAATATTTTCGCTGTGTGAATAATTCTTTTATGAGAAATAAAGCAATAAAGTATTTTGATACTTGATGAATTTTTGAAAGATGTGATATCCTACATGTACACTTTGATATATTTCGTATATTGTATTATAAAATATTTTTGTGGGGAAAGTAGGGTGTTACACAAACCAAGGGATAAACTTGTCAGAAACTATAATGGAGAAAACTCAGTTTGAGGTAGAGTTTCCTACTTTTTTTTAATAGAAAGGTGGATCAGGACCATCACAAAATTATATGAATGCTAGCAGTAGTGAGAGAACAATTACGTAGATCTCTGATTATCATTTGACTCATGATAAAGTAAGGAGGATTATTGTAACATCTCAAAGGGACGGTTATGCTGGCCTTGTATGTTATGCTTTGAATGTGGCTAAAGGGTTGCAAAACATGGGAAAAAATGACCATCATGAAGGCATTTGAAAGCAGATGGAGTCAAAGATGGTTGAAAAATCATACTTGGACTTGTTAAATTACCTGGACAAAAAAGGGTAATTGAAAACAAGTGGATGCAGGTGGCGAGATCAAAATTTAAGGGTGATTTGAATTTGATCAAGGTTATTGATTAGAGTTTCAACATGGTAGAGAGCATCAAGGTTATTGATGATTAAATTAACATCAACACAACTTCAAGTCAGTGTGGAGATTGTTGATGTGTGCCTAAAAACCTTTGTGATTGAAGAGAAATAAAACATGTTTCGAGATTGCCAAAAATCAAGAAGTCGAAAAGCAATAAGAATGTCTGGTTCGACAGTTCGCGGATTTCCGATTTGACCGATTCACGTTATTTAATGTTAAAATATTATATATATATATATATATATATATATATATATATATATATATATATATATATATATATATATATATATATATAATCTAAATTAATATAAAATATATTATAAGTTATATATAATATTATACCTTCGGTGTACCTTATTATGTTATACCTTATGTGATTGATTATTATTGTTGTAGGTAGGGGTGGCAAAATGGGCCGTCTGCCTCGCCCCGCCCTATCCCGCTTTAAACCCGCTTTAAACCCGCTTAAAAAAGAGCAGGGCGGACAAGCCTCCCAAGTGAAAATAAACATAAAAATCTAGCTTGTCCCGTTAAAGTGGCGGGTTGGCGGGCGATGGGCTTGCCCACTTACTTTTTTTACTTTTTACTTTTTTATTTTTTAATATATTAAGAGATTTTTTTTATATATTGTAATTAGATTTTTCACTGACTTTTTAGAATAAATTATTATAAAACATCTTTTTTAACAAAATTTACTTTAAAAAATATTACATATATTCACAAATAAATTATAAAATAAAACCATCAAGAATTGGACCTACTAGAATTAATTATAAAAGTGCGGGCTTAAGGTGGGACAAGCTAAATGAATAGGAGCGGAGGACTTTGGCGGGCAATGGATTTTGGCGGGACGAGCTTTGGTGGACGACGGTCTTTAGCGGGGCAGATTTTGGTGGACGGCGCGTCCAAAATCCCAACCCAACTCGCCATTTTTTGGCGGGTACGCGGGCCGGCCTGACGGGCCACCGTCCGTTTTGCCACCCCTAATTGTAGGTCATTTATTTTGATTGCTACTGTTCTTTGCCTTACATATTGAAATTGAACCCTGTTGTTATTTACAACATTATTATTTTCCTCTAACACTTTTAATTTGATCTAACATTTTCAACACTTTTTTTTCTTCTCTTTTTATTTAAATAAGTGGTTATCCACATAATATTTTTGTTGTGTTTTTTAGTTTTCTTCGTGTTGTGCGGCGTTTGTTGATTTTCCATCTTAGTATTGTGTTTGTTAATTCAGATTGATATATTTATTTCATCTCATTACAAATTTGATAAAGATTTGAGCGTTGATGTTGTAAATCCAAAAATATGAATATTCTGGTTACTTTTATTTTATCCTATTTGTAGATATTTTCATGTTGTCGTTGTATGCTATTAAGTTAACTTATGTGCTAGAAGATTGTTTACAAATTCACTTTTTATTTATTTTTAATTTAATAATATTGAATTTGTAATTTTCAATTTGAATGAATGTGTTTTTTTTAGTAAGAATTTTTTTTTAAACATAATAATTTTTTTTGAGGTTTTTAACATAAGTCAAAGTTATTGCATATATTTTTTAAACTTTTTAATTAATAGTACTATGTTAAATTATTTTTATATTATTAAGATTTGATAAATAAATATTGTTTTTTATTACGTTTTTTATTTGAACTATTGTTGGATACATTTTCAATAATACTTATGATAATTAAAAAAATATTATTATTCTTTTGAAAAAGAGTTATTTAATTTTTGACATCAATTCTTATTCAATCTCACTAAGATAGTTTTCAAGTTAACACCTCTATTTTTATTTAAACCAAATAGCAACAATTATTTGATAGGTGCAATATTTAGTATTTTTTTTTACGTAGAATTGCGCTTAAGTGAATTTGAAATTGAGTCTATTAAAAAATCATCAGTGTTATTGTTTTTGTTGAAGAGAATCAATGAAAATAAATACGAATGTGATCAATATTTTAATCAAACACATTTTATAAAAAAATACTTAAAGACTCTCCTTAATTTTTAGGCCCAACAAGTGTTGGGCGAGGCCCATTCAAACCCTAATTTTTATTAAACCCTAAATCGTCTCTCTCAGTCGCCTATATAAAATCGAAACAGCGATTCCAATTCTTCAACTGCTTATAAGCATAGCCACCGTTTTCTTTCCGTTCTTCTTTATATCTTCGCTTTATCAATTTCTCAATTATTCAATTTTGTTTTGTTTATGGTTTTTATGAATGAATCTTTTTTTTTCTTCTTTACAATTGGTAAAAGTGTTTTATAGAATTCTCAGTGATGATGAAAACGATGACGAGTCCGATTGAAATTTCCATTCTAAAACAACCATGAGGACAAAACGAGGCATTTGTCTGAGAGAATTCCACTTTTCCCTTCCAATTTCTTTTTTTTCTTTCTATTATCTCTTGTTTTGAATTTTATTAATTTGTTAATTCTGGCACAGTGATGATTGATTTATTGTCATATGAATTCATGTGATTAAAACAATCCTCCTACTCATTCTGAGTGCCGTTTTTATTTCTCTTTTTTTTTTTCGATTTTAATTTTACTTTCTTATTCCCGTAGCATTCGTTTTTTGCGATCTTCTGTGTTTCGTATAGTAGGATTCAAATTCTATTAGTATAGGGTAATTTATCATTTCCAACTCGGTTATTCGTTAATGAACACGATTTTGATAATTAAATATGATTTATTCTGTTTATTTGAGTGAAATCTGTTTGACAATGGATATGAAGAGGTTTCGAGATCTCTGTTTTAACGTTTTATGTTTTTTAAATTCATACAAGTACATTATATTATAAAAATGTATGAATATTTGTGGATTAAATATGTTTTTGGTTTATATGTATGTGTTCAAAATTAAAATATTGATAAAATATTTTTGTGGATTAAATGTTTATGGTTTATATGTATGGTTCATAACCTCAATCATTGTTTTGCGTAGTTTAGGACACTATTAAAAGTTCTGAAGCTTCTTGGTCCCGGAATACAAAGGTTCCACGACATCCATCTTGAAACACTCCAGTCTCAATTTTAAACCTTCAAATCAAAAACAATTACAAAATAAACCATGAACGACGAATTAGGAAACCTTAAAATTTAAGCTTCTGTCTAGTGCCCATCAACACAAAAAGGGTGGGCTAATTCCCTTGGCAACCTTAAAACATTTGAGGCAAGCTTTGTAATACCAACCAAATGGGGAACCTATTAGTTTGTCACTTGCATCAATAATGTAGAAAGTAATATGAAGAGCCACATGATTTACTGATAGAGCTGAATCAAATGTGTTTATCAAACAATCTAGAGTCAATAAAGGATTTCAAAATTAATTTGAATGGTAAATGTTTAATTTGGTATGATTATCTTCTTCAAATATCGTTCTCTTTGACCAAGACCATCAATAAAGTCGAGGATCCTTAATTCCTAAGAAATTGCTCGGGTATTTAAAGAGATCATTTCTTCCCTCCTTTCATCTTGTGTTAGGTTGTCTTCTAACATAGCTCTTATGGATTTTGTCTGGGTTTGGATTGTGTCTTATTTTCTAAGTTATGAACACAAATGTGTCTTGTGTTTTGAGTTACTGTTGCAGGCTGCACCCTTTGTCATCATCTGAACAACTAAAGTTGGTTGTTGGTTACCTCTTAAGGGTTCTCTTATGTCCCTTGAGAGGAAGATTTGTCCCTCTGTCGAAAGTAAAGTGTCATGGGTTGATGATGAGTGTCAACTGTCTTGTACACCAAAATAACTTTAGGACTTTCTTTTCCTATCATTTTGAGTCGAATGTACTGTGGTGCTGAGTCTGATGTGTTGTAATGGAGTTGTTTGGACTATTGTGAAGAGATGTCGAACATGATGTCCAGACATCATGTAGACTGAGAAAATATTAATTTATATGTAGACATCATGTAGACTGAGAAAATATTAATCAAATTACAATTCAGATTTCAACAAATCAACTGTGAATGTCCCAAGTTTAGAGATATATTTGATAAGTGTATGATTATTGTTGGATTTCTGAAGTTTATTTGTTGAAATCTGAATTGTAATTTGATTAATTTGTTTTAGCCAAAATATACCAAAGAGAGATTGTTAATTCTCGTGTTTATGATTGACATTAATTTTAGTAAAACAAATTAGGTAACAACATAGTTAGTAGGATGTTCTAACTTGCAGAGAAAACATGGTGAACAAGATGTCCTATGCAGGTTCATTCGACATCATGACTATGATTACCTAGACAATTGGATTAGTTTTGTTTGTTGCAGATACAAAATATTCTGGAATATTATGTTATCCTATGCGGTGCTCAGGTTGAAGATTGAAGAGATTTAAGTTGATTTCAAGGAGTCTTATTAGTTTTTATTTGTGGAGACAAATTAGGAAACAAATGATTTGAGTCTTAATTTTATGCAGAAGTTTCTAAAGAGTTTTAGCAACTGATTTGTTGAGTTATTGAAGCTCAATCCAGTTCAGAAGATTGTTATAAATAGAAGGTTAAAAACTTAATGTTTGTATGGAATGTATTGTAATGTTTGTTAAGCCTTTAGGGTTTGTGTTACATCGTTATTTTATGATCCACTCTAAGATAGCGTTAGGATGTGTTAATTGTGAGCCACTCTTGTATTATTTGTTACTTGAGTTGGACTGTTAGGTGAGTTGTAATTGTGAATCACTCATAAGCTGTTAAGCAAGAGTGAATTTTGTTTGTCGAAGACTGTCTTCTTCTTGATTGTCAATCATTCTTAAGCTTCTAAGTATAAAGTGATTGTGTGTTTGTGAAGTTTGTTTTCTAATTCGTTTGAGTTGTGGTTTTGTCACCATTAGTGACGGTCATGGAAGTGAGAGGTGTCTCATACCTACGTGAGTCTTAGATAGAAGTATAGTACGGACAATGATTAAGTGAGGAGTTGTAAACGGGGGAGTTTAGCTTCAAATTGATACTATTTAGTGAATTTTCTTCCTGGCTTGGTAGCCCCCAGAGTAGGTGTTGTTATATACTGAACTGGGTTAACAATTATGCGTGTTGTTTACTTACTATACCAATTGTATTATATTTGTTCAAAGTGTTGAAGTCAGATTATAGTGTCTCGACATATCTTAGGACATTTGTGATTTGAATACCATAATTTCATAACTCAACAGTAGTAAAGCATTATCCTCATCATCAATCTTCACTTCAATATTCTCAAAATCATCAATAATCTTGTGAAATTTTGTAAGCTGCTCAACTATGGATTTATGCTCCACCATTCACAATGAATAAAGTTATTGTTTAAGACATAACTTGTGAGCCAAATACTTAGTCATATACAATGATCAGTTGAACTTGATTAACCAAGGTAATGGAGGTAAATTCAGAGTTGATGAGAATGTTGTAGTGAGATTTGGTGATAGAGTTTATGTTCCAGATGTGCCTGAGTTTAAGAGAAGTATTCTTGAAGAAGGTCATCTAAGTGGAATGAGTATTCATCCCGGTGCTACGAAGATGTATCAAGACTTGAAGAAGTTATTTTGGCGGCCTGTTATGAGAAAGGAAGTCACCAAGTTTGTTTATGCTTGTTTGACTTGTCAGAAGTCGAAGATTGAGCATCAAAAGCCTTTGGGTCTAATGTAGTCATTGAATATTCCGCAATGAAAATGGGACAGTATTTCTATGAATTTTTTGTCGGGCCTGCCGAAGACTGCTAAGGGAAATGATTCAATTTGGGTGATAGTGGACACGTTGACTAAGTCAGATCATTTCTTGCTGATGAAGATCAATCATCCTATGGTGAAGCTGGTTGACATGTATATTAAGAAGATTATGAAATTGCATAGAATACCTTCGAGTATCGTATCAAGTAGAGATCTGAGGTTTACATCTAAGTTTTGGGAAGGTTTGCAGAATACTTTTGGTACTAAGTTGAGGTTGAGTTTCACAAATCATCCGCATACGAACGGTCAGACAGAGAGGATTTTTCAGTCTTTGCAGGATTCACCGAGGGCTTGTGTGCTAGAACAAGGAGGAGCTTGGTATAGCCACTTGTTATTTATTGAGTTTACTTATAATAATATTTTTCATTCTAGCACTGAAATGGCACCGTATGAAGCATTGTATAATAGGAGGTGTAAAACTCCATTATATTGGTACGATTCAGGAGTGTTGTGCTCAGACCTGAGATTGTGTAGGAAACTGAGAAGATCAAGACAATCAAAGAAAGGATGAAAGCTTCTCAGAGTCGTCAGAAGTGTTATCATGATAAGAGGAGGAAGACACTCGAGTTCCAAAAGGATGATCATGTATTTTTGAGGGTTACTTCGTTAACTGGTATTGGTAGGGCTCTTAAGTCGCGAAAGCTTACATCGTGTTTTGTTGGTCCATATCATATATCAGAGAAGATGGGTGAAGTGGATTATCAAATTAATTTACCGCTGTCGCTTGTGAATCTTCATGATGTGTTTCATATATCTCAGTTGAGGAAATACATTATGGATCCTTCGCATGTGATCCAAATGGATCATGTACATGTGAGAGATAACTTGAGTGTTTAAGCATCACCCATATGGATAGAAGGTTAGAAAGTGAAGAAATTTTGGAGTAAAGACATCTCCTTGGTGAAGGTATTGTAGGGTAGACCATCTGGTAAAAGTTGGACTTGGGAATGTGAGGATCAAATGAGAGAGTCTTATCCGATTGTGTTGCCGCTAAATAATTTTCGAGGGCGAAAATTGTTTCAAGTGGGAGAGAACACCCCAAAATAATTAGATTAATTATTTAATTATTTAAGTGATTTATGATGAGTATTTGTGAGTATATATGATGTTTTGATGAATATGATGCGTGATGTGATGCTATGTGTGGTATAGTGGAAATTAAGTGATATTGGATGTTTTAAATAATTTTAGATAATTAGAGTAATTATTTAGAATTATTTTAATTAATAAAATAGAGATAATATATGATGTAGAGATGATGAGGGCAAGTTAGTAAGTTGTAAGAGGTTAAGTAAGAGCAAAAAAGGAAGACCATATTAGGGGTCCAAGGGGTAAGTTTACATAATGCAAATTTGGGGTTTAAAACAATCATTCTATACGATCGCACTTGGAGAAGAGACAGAGAGAAAAGCATACCTAGGGCATTGAGGAACTCAGAGGGATTCTGTAGAACACGAAGGAGAATCGATTGCTACCTATAATCTAAGGTAATTGGGTTATCCTTATCATTATGATTGATATGGGTTTAAGTATTGGTAGGTTTGTATTTGGGGTTTTGTTTGATGATGATGATATGATGATTTGTGATGAGAATGATGATTTGTAATGTGTAAAATGCCATGAAATGATGTATATAATGCCTATTATGATGTGATATTTTGATATTGTAAAACCATGATGAATTGTGTGAATTTTGGATTGAATGGGTGTTGAGATCAGAAGGAAATTAGACTGGTTCTATGCAGAAAATGCAACAGTAGAGTTGTTGTTTTCGCGCCCTCACCAGGTGAGCTTCCCAAGTCGTTGGGTGAAGGATCTTCGCTCAGAATTTGCCAGGAAAGAGTGAGGAGAGAGAGAGAGAGAGAGAGATATGATTTTTTGGCAGGTTTCTAGAAAATGTATGGAGGAGGTGTCTCGCTTCAGCTTTGTTTGGCGAAGCAAAGGCGAGCACGAGCTCGCCGGATGAATCAATAGGTCGGTTGGCGAAAGAGATTATGGAAAATAGGTCCTCTTGGAATTTGGTATGGGGGAAAGTGTATCGCCCCATCCTCGCCAGGCGAGCCTTATGCGAGAAACTGCTTCGCCGGGCGAGTCTTAGGCGAGGGGCAACTGACAAATTTTGTAAAGACCGTAACTTGAGTTTCTAGACTCCGTTTGATGTGTCGTTTAAACCGTTATAAAGCTAACACGATGTACTATACTTTGGTGAAATAAAATGAATCATATGATGTATTTATGCAGTGATTATGCTATAATAAAGTGATGTGATTATGTGTTGATGTAACATGATGTATGCTTCTTATGATGAATTAATGTGATTATGCCTTGATGTAATATGATGTATCATTTCTATAACGAATTTATGTTGTTATGGTAATGATGTTTGTATTATGAAGTGAGTGATGATATTATGATTATTACATGAATAATGATACGTTTCGACTAGAAGTGATCATGTTTTATTGTGTTATTGCTCATCATGCATTCATGCATATGTTAGGACATTGGTCCAATGATGTTGTTAGGACGATTGGTCCAGTGATGTTGATAGGACTTTGGTCCAGTGACGACCTCAATATATATATATATATATATTAAAAAAAGTATTTAACATTTTAGGTTTAAATCATAATTATTTAAAATTTAAAATTAATATATATAATTTTAGATTATTTTTAATAGATTTTTCTCTCTAATGAATTAAATATGCCTACAACAATTTAAAAAAGTTTCTCTCTACTATATTTCAGGTTTAAATAATAAGTATATAAAATTTCGAAAATAATATAAATTATTTTAAAATATATGTCAAAAGAATAACATTGAATGAAATATCCCTACAAAGAATAATAAAAGAATTGAAACAATAAATTTAATTCAATTAATATTAAAACCTTTTGAGTGTATTAAAATCGTTAAAGTTGAGAAGTTTTAGTATATAAATATATCAAAATCAATTCATTGAAACAATCATTAGATATCATAATTGTTAAAGACAAACTATCATTTTTTAACGTATGTTTCTAAACTTCATTCTCAACCTTTCAATTCAATCGTAAATAAAAATAAAAAACGGTTTTGTGAATTAGTTATATATATACTG